TATGGGGGATTTGATATAATGATGGAAATTTTCACTGGGACTTTTATTTTCAGACGATACAAACACTAATTTATGAAAACAATGGGGGGTAATTGATGCATCATCACAATTTTTTATCATCTAACATGAATCTTGATGCATTTTTGAAGTAATAAAATTCAAAATTAATATTCTAAATGTAGTCAAATTGACATTCTCAACAATTTGAATCTAATCAAGTCCAGATCAAATCATTAAATCATATTTAGAATATTTGAATCGTTAATTGAATGGTCAAATGAAGTTCAAATTTGACGTACTTATAGTTAAATCGGGTTTCTCGACGACTAAACTCATTGGATTATGGGTCATTAAGACCCCTCAAATCATTGAAAACTTACTTTATTCAAGGGGATCAATATGGGTGGTCTGATTAGGTTATGGGAGTTATTCACTAAAAGACCAAAACGTCCCTACTCTTGAGACTATAAATAGTTCCTATCTCTTCATTTGGGAGGGGAAGGAATTAAATTTTATTGGTGTTTTAGACCGAGACTTGGCGATAACTTACGACCCCTATAGCCTTTGACCACCATCGATCACTGTCCTTAAGTCGTTATTAACTACTATTGGCAACCCCTTGCTCATTGCCATCAGTGAGCTTTATTGTGTAGTGATGTATTTCATTATATGGTGCAACGAAGTATCCTGAATACAATGTTACGAAGTATCCTACAATGAAGTACCGAATAACTTCATTTTGAAGATTTGATGATCACTTCTAGAGACAAATACTTTCAACCGCCAAACTCATATTATGATTACTTTTTCTAGACTCCTAAAGTATTTCATACATTGTACACGGATAAGTGTTGTACTTGGTGTAGCGGTGTATCCATTCATTCCCATTTGCACGATAATGATAAATCATTGTAATTACACATTTATAGTGAAATGCTTTGTCTGGGCTAGGACGCATGATTTTTTCTCTTTCTGAATTTTATCTCATAAAAAATCTCATTAAAATCTTCTGCTCCTTTTCAATCATATGTGCATGTGTTGAATTTTAGTACAACGCTAAGACATTAAGTTATTACTCTACTACTGAAAATCTTTTGGGACACAATAATGATCATGAACAATATAGTTAAGAAGCTCAATAAAAACTTGATATTGATTAAAAACCCAATATAAATTATAATTAAAAATATAATTTAATTAGAAAAAGTTGGAATAAAATTTAATTTGAAATTAAGTTACCTTCTTTATATTATCAATATAAAATCATTAAAAAAGCAATAAAAAACTAGTACGAAAATCTAATTGTAGATTTTCATGTGAAGTTTTATATTAATTAAACGACTAAGAAAAAAAAATGATTTTGTTTAAATTCATATTTTTTTTTCTTTCATTCTCACACAAATTAAAATCATGATTTCTTTCAAGTAATGTTTTAAGCCCTTCACACTTATATTAATTCAGTCTCACACTTTATTATTGTGCTGTTAAAATGAGCTGATAGTTCTTAATTGCCAGAGTTTGAGGCGCCAATGAGCTTGTAAATAGTTCTAACTTAGTTTTTGTGTGTTGGGGTGTTAAAGTTGAGATTTAAAAGCTTTATAAAATAAAAATTTTATTTTCTAATTTCAGTACAATTTTCTTAGTTAGCTAAGGCTTAATAAGTTTTTCTCCATGCAGGTTAAACGAGTTACTCGTATAAAATCTTGGTTATCATAATATAAATCATGCTTGAGGTGGACTGAAATCAATCTTGAACAAGGCTCAAGCTTGCATAGCTACTTGGTTTGTTACCAACACTATATGTCACTACTATAGTTATCTAATACATTGCTCAACTAAACCTTCGCCTAACAAGGTTGATCAAGTTAGCTTGGGGTTGGGATCATCTTATTATAGGGGTTGACTTAGTGCATCTATTATTAATAAGAAAATGGAATGTTCTAATATTATTTTGGGTAAGGGTCATAATACCTTGATTAATATCTATAAAAATATTATAATTCCCTTATCTGCATACATTCAAAGTCCGAATTTGTATAGAGTACTACAATTTTAATCATTTTGGAAGCTCATTACATTCGCTATAATCTTTAGGAATCTATTGCACTATTGACTGGGTCAATTAGTTCACTCTCTCTAACCAAGAGTAGATCTATCCTGACCTTCTATAGATGGTCATCTAATTCCCAATCATTCAAGAGAAGCAATATCCTAACTTTATTCAATCAATTATTAACTTGTTATTGTTCATTCACTCTATTTCTGCTCCCCCTATTTAAAAAATGAAATGTCCTCATTGCCTCCAATCGCTCCTCATCTATATTTAGTACTCTAATTCTTCTAGAAGATGGACTATTACTACTCTCATAAGTCACCAACCAATTCTAAGTTATTTTGTTTGTACATTCTTTTAGGAGAAGGATTGCAATTACTATATAAATCCACACTTTGTCTTTATGTAGCTCACTTTCATATTTTTTTCAAAAAAGGAATTATCCCAATTACCTTCATTCAAATATTTATTTCTCTCTCTTTTCAAGAGAGGGAAATCCTTTTTATTTTTAGTTGCCTGTTAATTTTAGATCATTTATTTTTCCTCTTTTTAGAAAAAAAGTTTTATGACCATGCTTTGTCGCTATCTATAATAGTAACTTTGAATCAACCTCCAAAGGAAGATTTGCCCAACATTTATAATTCCACCCACAACTTTTTTTGCACTACGTTGTTGCCACCATAAGATTGTGTCACTCCTAGTTGTCTCACCTAATCATTACCTCATATTGCCTTCAGTCTCTAATGAGGATTAATCCAACCATCTTTTATGTAGTTTAAGACAAAGTTGTGTTGTCTCACCTAATGTCAAGTTGCCTTCACATATTTGAAGAGATCAATAAGGTCATCTTCTTCTATTCTATTAACTTGGCATTACTAGGATGCTTGAAATAATGACTTTTTTCTTACTCTGTATTAATGTATTATACAAGTTTAGGGAATGTTTTTAGTTTCTTAATTTTCACATAAAAGGGAAAAAGCCACTCGTTTTTCTTACTTAATTATGTGTATATATTGTTGTTTGCAGTTTAGGTGATTCAAAACTCTCACCTCTATGAAGATGATTTATAACACCAATAACTGTGATGCAAATTCTATAAAAAGAAATGAAATACTATGGCTAGAGGGCCAACCAAAACATATTTATGAATGTTATTCCCCTAAATGTAGTTGGCCCATATAAATTTTTTTATGTAAATTATATCTTTTGTAATGCATTTACACTTTTTTTAAATATATCATTCGAGCTTCAAAGTGTATTGAAAATTATCACGCTTAAAATAAGAAGGCAACACATGTGATGCGGATCAACCGACATGTATCCACGTCTCAAAGAACCAAGCACAACACAATTTCTCTCTAAGTGAATCATATAGAAAATCACACCCTTCCACCCCTTTGGTATGGCAGTTGGAATTACTTGTGTTCAACTATCACTCGAAAGATAGTCTACCAAATAGCCAAATTTATAAAATATATATTTTTGATTTACTTTATACTCTTACTGCAACAGAATAAATCAGATCTAAATCAATTTGTTTTAGTAAGAGCTCGGTTGACATCACTTTTATTTCTTTTATTTTTTAACTTTTGCTTTTTAATACATAATTGGTTGGTAATATATTTATTTTTATTTTAAGAAATATATCAACTTTTTTTTTTAATATTCAAATTATTATTTTACAAAATATATAACTTAATTTTTATTTAAATCAAAATATAATTAAATTAAAATTTCTATTTAATTCAAAATATAATTAAAATAAAATAAAAAACAAAAGTGATTCAAGTCGCCTCGAGCATTTTAGCCCGCTTTATATTGTTAGTATAGACTTAGGGTCTGTTTGGGGCAATTGTAGCTTATTGAATAATCTGCTGATAAGCTGATTAAAAATAATCTGCTGATAAGTTAGGTGAGATGACTATTACAAATTTTTATTTTTTTGCAAAAGCCAGAACATTGTCAATAAGCTCCCACCGTATATAGATAGGTGCGGTGTGAAAACACAGTTTTCTACATTTTGAAAAAGCATAAGATGTCAAAATGCAGTTTATCCAAATAGGTCAGGTGCGTTTTCAAAACGTCACCGCCCAATAAGCTCCCACCGCACATAAATAGGTGCGGTGTGAAAACGCAGTTTTCTACGTTTTGAAAAAGCATAAGCTGTCAAAATGCAGTTTACCCAAATAGGTCAGGTGCGTTTTCAAAACGTCACCGCACCAAATAAGCTGCCCCCAAACGGGCCCTTAGTTGAATCATTATACCTTTGGCTAACTTCGCAGAAAAAGAAGATCGGAATATTTATTTACCAAAAGTTTCACTACCTGCTCTTTTATTTCTAATTTACACTGTTAGGTATGTCTCGTATACAATAGATGCTGGAGCGGAACAGAGCAAGCCGGCAGAGCAAAATGAAGCAGAAATATCTGTCCAATCGAAGGAGTTTCGTTAAGTGGGTTAAGGGTACAAAGGCAACGGTTCACAGTACTGTACATGGGTAATTTTTTAATTATATCATATAAGAGATAGATGCTGGAGCAGAACAGAGCAAGCCAGCAGAGCAAAATGAAGCAGAAATATCCGTCCAATCGAAGGAGTTTCATTAAGTGGGTTAAGGGTACAAAGGCAACGGTTCACAGTACTGTACATGGATAATTTTTTAATTACATATCATACATTAAGATTTTATATATGTTATATTTGTAACCTAAGGATGTACTATTTTTTCAAGAAATCAGAAAGCCGCCGCTCTTACTCTCGAGGATGTAGGCAAATTGCCAAACCTCATTACATCAGTGTGTTCTTTCGTGTTAGTTGATTCCTGCATTTATTTGGCCTAATTTATGCCATAGCACATATATAAAAAAGGGAAACAGAGAAGTAATCGAAACAAGTTTGAAATGTATCCATTTCCAAGTTCATAGAGTTGAAGATACAGTAGAAATTGTGGGAGATGGAACAATTGGCAAATGGCACGCACCAAACAGGTAGCAGTCTGAATCTTAAAATAAAGGTTTTGGTAAATCAAATCAGCAACGCTTCCACGCCTGCCTCATACCTTAAAAGAGTTACAATAGAAGCAGGGGGAGGTTACAAATTGTGACCTGGATAATGCTGTAAAACGTAAAAATAAAATAAAATAAAAATAACAAATGAAACTCTCTATGACATTTGCCCAATTAAAGTCGTTTCCTTTTTGCAATCTTTTAATTGAAGCAGGCACTAGCATTGAGCTCCCCGGCGGCAGGAAAGAACGCCAGCTCCGGAGGTGATGGATGCCACCATGGAAGAAGACTTGGCTCCCAGGCTTGATGCTCTTGAATAACTGGCAGATGCCCCCGCACCAGAGGGAGTGAAGAATGCTCCGTTGAGCAGAAGATCCCCCTCAGATCTCCAATTCCATCCCTTCCAAACGTTTTGATTTGTGTCCACCCTCTTCGTCACCTGAACATATATACACTCATCTCATCAAATTTTAAGCAAATCCTTCATTTTTTTTTCCTGCTCAGTTTTTATTTGATCAAATTAAGTTTACCTCTTTGGCATATGGGTTAACCGGAGCAAGGTATCGATTCCCCTGGCTGTTGATGGTGGGATCTGCGCTGCCTCCAATGGCGTACATCTCCCAGTGAGTGTAATCGTTGTTGACCACATGGAAATAGCCATGCCTGCACCTGAAAAAACTCTCCTTTATGAGATCTAAGCACTTCATCTATCTCTATCTTTCAATGAAATGATGAGTGTATCACAGTTACCTTGGCATTCGCTGAATAAGACCCTCTCCAAAATGATTAAAAGCTATGGTAACCTGCATCGCCTTGTCTCTATCGTAGGAATCGCTGTGGCCCAGCAGCATCACCTGCATCCACATAACTTACTCAGCTGCTTCCTTCTCGTTTCGTTGTCAATTAAATAAGAAAAAGTGGGGGAAACTACCTCATTGTGGTGCGTGAAAAAATTATTCGAAATGGTGATGGCCGTGGATCCCATGATGGCGTCTACAAGCCCATCGGCGCAGTTGGAGAGCGAGCAGTGATCCACCCAAATATGGCTCGATGCGAAGATGGAAACCCCATCTCCGTCAGCCAACGTTCTCCAGCCATAATGCGAAGGCGAGCTGCGAACCATGGCGTTTCCGGTGGGTTTGCAGTCATGGATATGAAGCCCATGGATAATGATATTGTTCACAAACTGGAGGGTTAGGCAGGCACCGTTAGCGATGTGTACATTGACGCCGCGACCATCGATGGTTTTGAAGCTGTTCATGATGAGCTCCTCCTTGAGAACAATTACCATGTCCCGCTTGAACACGATCCAGAGAGGCTCGTCCTGGATCACCGCATGGCGGAGAGTACCGGGCCGTGGGTTCACCGGATCATCGTCGCTAGGATCGGTGACGATGTAGTACCGACCATCGCGGCCTCCGATTGCGTTGCGGCCGAAGCCAATGCCGCAGTCGGCAAGCCGCTTGCGGGCTTTTGTAGGATCGCACCGCCAGCAGTCGTCGATGGGGTTTCCGGTGCCGCATGACAGGAAGGCGAGGTTGCGCCTGGTTGTACTTGCATTGATCGCCCTGTTTCCAAATATTCCAAACTTTAACTCATGGAATAAGCTCCATTAGGGTTACGGATGAGAACGAGAAGAGCATGTGATCCATAAATTCGAAGCACATGAACAACGGATGTGTGGAGATAGATGGGTCACTGGAGGCAATAACTTTCACAACAGATGCAATAAATGAAGAGAGCGCGGTGTTTCCATTCATGTGAAGAGGATCATTCTCGGTGTACGGGAGGAGTGGGGCAAAGGGCGGGACAGAGAGGAGGTTCGGAGAAGCAATGTGAGAAAGGGGAAAGATGAAGGACGAGGATGGCAACTAACTACTGAGGGTAAGAGAACGTGATAGTGTAAGGCCAAAGATTCGACTAGAAAGAATTAAAATGACTAATGGGAGGAAAAGGATCCAATGTCCTGGTGGAAACAGGGGAGGCTCTGCTTCCAAAGATGAGTTCGACAATGTTGCAGAGCAACCCACCTCGAAGAACAGAAAAGCACGCCGAAAGCTCTGATAAATGTTTTTTTTTAAGATTAATGCAAACTACATTTAGATTTTGCTGAATTGTGAAGTAAATTAACTTCTAAAATTATCAGGGAGAGTGGGAGAGAGTAATTACATATGAACCTCGGACACAACTTTCTCAGGATCGCCGACAGCACCCATCACCGGCGTCTGCTCAGACCTGCAAGACAACTAAAATGTTCAAAAATTCTAATTTTTTTCAAAAAAAGAAAAAAATCCAAAGCAAAGGATCCTCCTCGTGTATTCCCTTGACAATAGTAGTACTTTATACTTTGCACAGAGTGATCGGTCTCAATTAGCCATGGCAAGAAGTAAAAATTGTTGACTGGTGGATCTTAGAATGGAAAAATATAAATCAGACGGTCAATTGAGGGTGTGAGATTTGATGGTAGTCGAACTCAAATCAACTTTTTGAAAAAATATATAAATAAATACAGTAATTCTTTGCTAACTTTTTCTTATTTCAAGAGTAGTTTTCTGTTTTTCTTTTCCTTTTATCATGTCTCTGCCTCGAAGAAAACGAATGTGTTCAGATATCAAAAAGAACAAAGCGGGAAATGGAGTCACCGGATGTGAAGATGAGAAAAAAAATGCAGATCTAAGAACAGAGCTCTTGTAATAACTGAACTGACCTCGTTAAAGTAGAAGAATTCGCGCTCTCCGACTTCTCGATTAAACTCCGCCTAGCCGCTCCAATGGTGCTGCAAACATATTATAGTGTTTCTGTTAGCTCGAATTAAACAGATCTGTTCCTCTTTTCTCCAGCATTTGCTTCGGCAGACAAGAGAGGAAACTTTAACTTCCGAATAAAAACGGGCCGTAGAAGAACTTGAAGGAAAGAAGAACATTATGCAAATCGACAAAGAATCGGACTAATTTCTAGCAACTTTCAACAACCAACAAGAGTAGCAGAAAAAAACGCGAGAAACACCAACAGATCCCTCTTCACCCAACAAGAGAATAGCAGAAAAAAAACGCGAGAAACACCAACAGATCCCTCTTCACTGCTTAATCCAAACCAAATTCAAATCAAACCCCCCAATTTGTGCATACAGAGTACACCCCTTTAGCCATCAAAGAAGAAGAAGAAGTAATCTCTGCTAAATTAAATTAACCTCCCAAACAACGGAGCCAGAACCAATCAATGTACCTTGCAACAGAGATATTTCCTCCGACACCAAGCCACCCGAGACCGCCTACCAGAAGCACAAGAAAGCCCATAGAACACAGAGGCAAGCACTTCAAGTTCTTCGCCATTGCAGCCCCCTCAACTCTCACTCCTCCCTCTCGATCTCTGAGTGGGAAAAGCTACAGCAAGAAGGAGAGAAAAACGAAAAGGCGCACCTGCACTCTATGCGAGGGAGAGGGTAGAATGAGCCTCAAAATCCCGCCAATTTATAGAAAGTTATACTTGTCCCCACCATAACTAACCAAATGTTATTAATACCTGCGTAATTGATTAAATATTTGTTAATTGGTACATGTACGCACGAAAGAAAATGAGACGTACACTTTTATGGTATAATTACATGCATAGCACTCCTAAGATTAGCGCTCACGAAACGGTTCCTTTTTCGCTAACAGTTCTTATTCAGTTCGTCAAGAAACTCATGTTCGTTTCGTTTGCTAAGGTTAACGAGCCGAATATGAACAATTTTTTTCGCTCAATATGTGTAAATGAGCCAAACATAAATAAAATTTGTTGGTCTGACTCATTTTGACTCAAAATAATAAAATTATATATATATATATATATATATAATTGATTAGCATGTTTCAAAAATTTAATTTACTAAAAGGCTATAAAGGTTTATAATCAATTAAAATCATTAATTAAAAATATAATAAAAATACATTAAATTATAAATACTTTTTTTTTTTTTGAAATATAAATGAGCCAAATACGATTTAGGCTTATGAAACACTTCATCTCGTTCTACCTTTAACATCCTACGCTTGTGTGACTAGGGTTGTTAAAACAACTCTTTGTGCGTGAACAACTTGTGTTCGGCTCGCTAAGCAAACGAGTCGAACACAAATACTTTTTTTTTTTGAAATATAAATGAGCCAAATACGAACAATGATATTCTTTAACGAGCCCAACACGAGTTGTCTAAGCTCGCTAATGTTTAGCTCTTTTACAACCCTGCCTAACATTGCTAGCAAAAATTAAGAGTAATTATTATGTTTGGTGAATAGAGGTATGGATTGATGGTACTGTGATAGTATTATAATGGCATTATAGTGGTATTGCCACAATACAACCACCAATCCACACCTATATTCACCGCACCTAATATTTTTACCTAGCATTCATGTGTTATATTTGAACAAAAGAATCGTTGTATTTACACGTGTCACAATCAAACCATTGAGAGTTTGATAAAACCAAAATATCGGGGTCATGGGTTTATCATGAGTTTCCATATTTGAGTGAGAATTTGAAAAAAAGAGAGTGCTAGACTTGTAAATAGCAATGATTCGGATGCTATGTATGTGAATGCACCTAATTTTATTTTAATATTATGATTTTTATTTATATTTTATTTCTTGGTAATTAAAACAACTTTTAAATGATGACTTTTTTAAAATAATTTTTTTCTGTATCGAAACATAAAAATGACATGAAAGAAATTCGTTCTAAACATTTTGAAAATATTTTTTAGATCTTTATAGCTATATATATATAAAAATAGATAGAACTAAATACAACCAAAAAACATCAAACTACAAAGCTCCAAAGCAAACATAATACTTCTTTGGATGCAAAGTATCACCAATCCAAAACATCTTCAACAGACCAAGCTCCAAACCAGAATGAAAGCTCTAAGCCCGCTCCTAAAATATGAGCATTGGCAAGAAACAAGAGAAAGCTTCGACTTATCATCCTCCAAATCAAAATGATAGTTTAAAACCCTCTCAAAACAGGAGCATTGTCTTCAAAGAGTCTCTAAAAAAGAGATCCAAACTAACAACAGTCATAATAACAGAGCAACAAAACCAAACAATGATCCTAAATGAAATTAATTCTCCAAAGGATGCTGGAATAGCAATCCAAACACCACCAAAAGAACATCTAGCAACAAAAGTTTTGGATCGAAATATCCAAACAACAATTCTAAGGCACTCGAAGCTATAATAAATATAGGAATAGCTGCGCAAAATAAATGAAGAAAGTGAATTTATAGAAAGGAATAAAAATTAAGCTCATCTTAGCCCATATAAGGAGCATGAAACTCCAACCAGAGACTAAAGGGACAATATCTTAGCATAAAACCTTAAAAATAAATGGTTCAAGAGCAAGTTTTCATTCAAACTTAAATGAAATGAATATACTAAAATATAGTCACAATAGAATGACAAAGTACCACAGTATGAATCGACACATCATAGCTTAAACCTAAAAATAAGGCTAAAAAAGAAAAGTCAACTATATGACTCACTCTTCTATTAAGTTAGTAAAGATGAAATTACAAAGTTGTTGTATAATGATATTTCAACAATAATAGTTATAATGGGTCGTGAAAGTTGTATTCGATTTTTATGGATGTAATAGTTCACTGTGAATGTTGTAGATGGTACATGTAGTGTCAGCATGTCGTAGAGGTCATAGTTGAAACCATGATAATAATTGGCTTTGTGTGTCATGGATGATTGATTCAGAACATTGTTTGGCCACCAAGGGCATAATAGGAGCTGCAATAACGTTTGTAGGTTGTAGAGGCCGAAGTTTGTCTTTGTGGGTACATTGTTACACTATATTTGCGATGCATTGCTACACTGCATGTGGTAAGTACATTGCACTATCTTTGGGGCATTGTTATACCATATTCGGGGTGCATTGTTAAACCGTCTTCTAGGTGTGTTGCTCAATAGGATGGTTCATTACTTCACAAGGCTGGTCCTTACTTTGCATGATGATTCGTTACTCCGCAGCGTATATCGGGATTCGCAGGTCACGTCGTGATTCTACACGGGGCTTCATTTTGATGAGCAAGGGGTGGCCGATGGTGGTCAATGGTGACCGAAGAACTATAATCGATGATGACCAGTGAATAGTGGTTGGTGTTTGCAGGAGCGGGAGTCGTTTGGTGGACCTTCAGTGTGGAATACTGGACCTCAGCTCCTTCTAAAAATCTAGGCTTCCTCCGGTTCAAGGTCTAGACTTTCTATCATTAAGAGGGTAGGATTCTATTTATAGTCAAGAAGAGGCCTCTTTGCAAATAAGGAAGGAATCTGTCCCGCTCCATTAGATGGCCCGAAGAGATTCCCTTGATCAGACAATATTTTGTGGACATTTGGGTGTGTTAACAATGTCAGAATTGAGTGATCCCATACATGTTAGATTTGTTTTGTTGAGATGTTTGATTCGAATATAAGCTTGTTAGATTTGGAATTCATCCGACCATCCAATTAGACACAAAAAAAAGTTCCAAAAATGGCTTAATCGCTCGATTCGGGCTTGATTTGATTTTGATTGGACCAACCTTGGTGCATTGTGTTTGCCTTGTCGAGCCGGCCAGTTTGGCTATAAGTTTACTGAAATCAAAGTTCTTGGTGATTTTTAATTAAAATTTAAATATTTTTTTACTAAAAAAATCGACTCAAACACTCTCCTCGGTCATGAGAATTTAATGATAGTGTATCATAAATAATCAAACAAAATTTCTATTCTTCTTTAATTTTCTTTCAAACTGAAATAATACAACCTTTTTACCTTATTTTGATTCCAATATATATTGTCTTAAATAAATAACCATTATAAAATTAATTTGGCCCTTTAATTTTGCTTTTAAATATCTGTCGACTTTGAATCCCATTGCAAATAATGAAAAATGAACCTATATACCGCTCTTATTACACATCAAGTCAAAAAAAAAAAAAAATATGCTCTTTAAAATGCTTTTTTTATATGATAAAACATTTAAATTACATTGATTGTCATTTATTGTTCCTAAATTTAGCTAAGCTCACGAGTCTGTTCATCTTTAATTAGTGTCTAATTTATTAGGGCCGCTTCAATAAGAAAAAAAATGTTTTCAATTATGGAGGAATAGTTGAGAAGGCGTATTTTCCTTTTGGGATTTTTACATGACAATCACTCAAAATAGTCCTTTTTTACATGTTTAACATCCAAACTACATTTCTTATGGCAGAAGCGCCTCTAATTCACCAAATAAGGAGTGCGGCACCCCGTAACCCTCGTTTCCTTCCCTGTAACCCTCCGTAACCCGCCTTTTTAGTCTCTTCGTTAAATTGAAAGCTATTTGAAAGTGGTTCTTAGAATGTTTGTCAGCTTCTATTGGGGTTAATCTTCAACATTTGAGCTTCGTGTCAGACACGGAAAAGGGTTTGTGAGAAGTCATTAAGTTTGTTTTTCTAAATGCGGAGCATAGAATTTGTTTATGCCATTTTTAAGGAATTTGAAGAATTTTTTTCATTGTAATAATAGCCATCGAGTTAAAAGTCTCCGATGGTTAGTAGCTAATGCGTACACTCAGCTTTAGTTTGATAGTAAAATGGTTAAGCTTTGTAGTGTCTCTCCACAAGTACACTCCTGCTTGCATTGCCTTGCGCGTGACATAGAAGTGGTTTTAACTTTGATATAAAAAATCATTCCAACCCAAATAACATGTCTGAATCACTTAATTCTTGGATTGGAGAAGCTAGGAATAAGCCAGTCATTGACTTGATTGACATGGTTAGAGCAATGCTCATGCAACAAAGAGCTCACAAGAAGCGAGATGAGACTGCTTGGAAAGGGGATTTAGTTCCTTATGTTGAAGACTACATTAGACATAAAACCACAAGAAAAGAGCAGCTCCTTGTAAGGGAATTTACACCACATCTAGCCGAGGTTGAAGGTAGTAATGGCAGACATGAAGTTGATATAGAACTTAGGACATGCACTTGTAGAGTTTGGCAACTAACAGGTCTACCGTCTATCCATGCAACCGCATTTATCAGGTTCAAGGAGCACCCCTTGTGGCACAGCTATATTCACACCAGTTAAGTTATCATTTTATTAGGTTTGTGATATGTTCTTATGTTTGGTAATACTTAAATTTTTGGTTATTACTCGCAATCTTTTATTTTCTTACTTGTAGGTATAGGATGGCCTACGAAGGACCCATCTTAATACTCCTAGGAAAAGAAGGCGAAAGCAGGTTTTTTGAGCTCTTTGTGTGTCGTTATCCCTTACTCGGGAGGGTTTTGGTCATGAAGGTGATGGTTTTTCCACGGAATGGAAAGACAGGTAGAGAGTTAGGCGAGGGTTTAGGAGAAGGGATAATGGATCTGATGATGGGGTGTGGTGCTACAATCGAGGTGTGCTCACTCATAGTTTTGTGTGTGTACTGTGCTTTCATGAATTTTAGTT